TTCAGGTTTTTTCATCTAAAGAAAAGCAACATTAATTTCTTGACAACCTAATTATGTGTTGACTTGTGTTACACCTCAACTACACATAAATCCAATATTACCATAACATTAGAGCTACACAATATCCAAGAGAAGAGAAAACTTTAACAATGGCTATAATGAAAATATAAAATAAAAGTACTACTTTACAGTTACCATACCAGAACTATATACAACAGTGTTTTTAGAGTTGAATTACCTCTGAGTATCTAATGAGTATATATCTGTTTTGGGAAGTCAGATTGCTTACCATTAAAGAAGCAAAGTATTTTCTATGTAACAGCATTCTGGACTGTAATTGCTGTATCACACAGAAACCTGAGGACAAGAATCTGTTTACAGTGTGCTTAAACAACAGGATTTTGTAGAAAGAATAAATGGATTTGTAGTGTAAACAAACCAAACAGACTTGGAATATTTATTTTAACATTTGGACATATACCTACTTTACAGTACAACAAATTACTTGAAATTTTCTGCTAGTCAATTTTGCCGAACAGTACAAGAACATACAGCTTACAAGCAAGTTTCTGTAACCCTGATCTTCCACATGTTTCTCCATCTTTATTCAAAGAAAACGGCATGACAAGTTTATGTTTGGCTATTAATTTTTTATACTGATACAATACATTGGAATTTTAGTTGCACTTATGAGTAAGAACTGCTGTAGTAAAAAAATTAGGTCTGTGAGGTCTTAGCTTTAACTTTCAGACATGTACCAATACTTCAGTCTAACAAATTCTTTGAAATTTGAATTTTAACATTGTCACTCATACTGTATCTAAGAGCATATTCTGTTCCTATCACAGTGTCAAGAACAAATAATGTGGCTAATAGTAGTAGTAACACATGTTACAATGGAACAGTGTAAATAGGAAGTATGAATCTGTAGCAGAGGAAACAATCAACATCCAAGTATTATTACTGATAAATGTAAGGCTTAAATAAACAATAATAATAATGATTTAGGGTGTAATAAACTATAAACTAACTTTCAAGCAATCAATTTACTTGCAGTGTATGGAAAGAAGAACATTAGTCTTACACAGCATCAGTGAAATTATCCAATATGCTATTTCAAGCAACGTATTAAACGATAAAATATTGATTTATACATGTACATATCAAAATGATAAAGGTATGATCTTGCAGATGTGATGTACCTATCTAAGAGTCTCATGAATCATTTGAAACTTATTGTTTAGAATACTGCTGGCTCTGTTCAAAAACATATGATGCCCTCTCATGATAACAGCAAATAATGTGTATAATACTATACATTTTAATATTCATTATACTATTAAGTATAATATTTTATCATTACTTACTATAGTAAGGTATCACTCTCAGTCTCATATATTATTATTCACTTCCGCTCTAACAATTATTAGTTTCATACAGTGTTCCATTAAAGTATTACACAATTAATAATTATTATATACACTATCTGAAGATGCTGCGTGTTCCATATATCATGATTTTCAAACAGTGTTAGTGTAACATTTGTACATACAATAAATTTCAAGTGTATCATTCAAATTGTGACTAGCACTCCTAAAAACATTATATATATGCAAATTAATACTGACAGTATTCTTGTGCTTTCCATTCCAATTCCAATGCTTCATTAAAGTTAAAAAAAAAAAGGAGTACTATATCTTTGAAATTATACTTTTTAGTTTAAATAGCTGAGACTTAGGTATAACTACAGAACCTTGCAAAAGTATTCACCCCTACCAGTTTGATGAAATACAAATAATGTAAACACGTTTTTTAACAAACTCTTTTTATTCAAAACTAATGATCAATAAAAAGGAGAATGATACTTAAGATAAACAACATTACTGCTGTGTGTCTTTTTGGATAGGTCTCTGTCAGCTTTGCACAATTGTATGGTGTAATTTTTGCCCATTTTTCCTAGCAAAATTGCTCCAATTCTGACAAGTTCCTTTAGGATTGCTGATGAACTATTTTCTATTGGATTCAAGTCAGTACTTTGACTGGGCCACTCCAAGACATTCCCTTTCTTCTTTTGAAACCACCCCAGTGTGGCTTTGGCCTTGTGCTTTGGATCATTGTCCTGCTAAAATGTAAATTTTCAACCTTGGCTGACTCAAGAAGGTTTTCCTCTAGGATTCACCTGTACTTTGTTGTAATGTGCTGTGTTGGGCTTGCGCCAGGCATAATGCTTTAAATTTAGACCAAAAAGCTCAATTTCTTTCTCATCT